TCTATCTATCTATCTATCTATCTATCTATCTATCTATCTATCTATCTATCTATATTTTTCCCATTTAGAAATCTTGAGTTATTTATGATCTAAGGACCACAGGTTAAGTTCTTTTAAACTCGAATCTGAGAAAGGGACCTAAACCCCTGAATCAGGAAGACGATTCTGAAGAAAAGATGGAGTGTGATTCCCCTAGGAGGCAGAGAAGACCTTGCTGTTTATTCTAAGCAGAGTGGTTCCAGGTCTGGGGATGTCCTGATGTGGAGATGAAAAGCTTCATAGCCAAGACTTTGAGGAACCTGATGGGGTGCTTTTTGCTGGTACTAGCCAGTGACTTCTGGCTTTTCTAGCAGAACTTGAAAGGCTTTAAGCTAATACAGTGATACCAATTCTTTCCTTGAGGAAATGAAAGCTAAAGAGTTTAGATGAGACAGTAGTTATAGAGCAGTGGTAGAATCAAAGAATTAAAAAAGATCACAGATGATGGTGGTGCCAAATTGAAGGTTGTATGGAAATTGTGACTGAGCCTTCTACATGGCCTCAACCTTGGAGTCTTGGGGATATGTGAGAATGTTAAGAGGGAGCACTAGAGTTCAGAATAGCTATATCTGCAGTCAAAGTGCCTAGGAAAAAGTATATGATTTTTATTTTTAACAACTGGAGAGAGACCTGAGGACCCAGGAAAAAGTGACTTGAGGAATCAAATAATATAATGTATATAACGCATTTTGCTTAAAGCACTATATAAGTGTTACATGTTATTATTAAGAAAAATAAAAGTTTGAATATCACTGTTGTGTCAAATGAAAACATAACTTTTGGATGCACATTTTTACTACATAATGAGGAAGAAGTACACAGTAGCAACACTTACCAGCTGGTCCTCAGTTTACTTTTGCAATAATACTTTATCAAGTCATTTGGAAAGTTAACAAACCTGTTGGTGCAATTCATCTTCTGTTGGAGGCTTAGTTTCTGGTATGGGTGTGTGGGTTGGGCTGTGGCTTCGAATATCATTTTGTAGTCCATAGACCGACTAGATTTAAACCACAACAAGAAATATATTAGTCCTCAAACAAAATTCATATATTTAGTCTTCCTTTGAACTCTAACTTTATGTCATCTCTTCAGTGAAGGCTTCCTGTCTTTTAAATTATGTTTTATATCAAAACTTCTAGGGCAAATATCTTGTGTTGAAAAATTGAACCTTTCATTTCTGAATCATCAAGTTCTGATTATAGATAGTGAACATGAAGAACACAATAATAGATTATTTAGGGAGGGTAGGAATATGTAGGAGGTGGAGAGAATACTGAGGATGAAACTCAGTAACAATTTTCTAAGTATAAACTTCAGGGAGTGGAGATGGAAATAGAAGAGAAAACACAATAAACCCATCTAGGGCAAAATATGATGTAAGCTTTAAAGAGAAAGGGAACAGAGTTCAGTGTTAAAGAGACTAGACAAGGAGGACACCTGGCTATATGAATTATTTTATGATAAAAGAACTAAAACATGGTGGGATCTCAGAGGTCAGTTAGTCCAATGCCATCACTTCACACATAAGGAAGCTGAGGTCCAGGGAGAAGTTAAACAATTGCCCAAGATCATACTGGTTGTAAATGTTAATGGCATGTTTGGCACCCAGTCCAACCATCACCATCATCATCATCATGTTCCTCCAGAACCAGTGTTTTTCCACTGTACCATGCTGTCTACCCAAGGCAGAATTCAGTCTCCAGTTATATTCCTATGTTGTTGTTGTTCAGTCATTTCAATTGTGTTCTGTTCTTCATGACTCCATTTGGAGTTTTCTTGGCAAAGATACTGGAATGGTTGGCCATTTCCTTCTCCAGATCATTTTGCAAAGGAGAAACTAAGGCAAACAGGGTTAAATCACTTGCCCAGGGTCACATGGCTAGTACATGTCTGAGGCTGGATCTGAGCTCACAAAGACGAGTCTTCTTGATTCCAAGCCCAGTCCTCTTTCCACTGTGCCATGTAGCTGCCTATGTTCACATGGCCCTGTTCAAAAACACCCTTCAGCTTACTCACATGTACTTTAGTAGTGTAGTAGGTAGTAAGCTGGCTTTGGAATCAGAAATAGCTCAAATGCTTTTTAGTTCTGCTTAGTCTTTGTTTGCCACTATTTCCTGGACAAACAGCTCTTACCTTGCAGGGTTGTTATGAAGATTGAATAGGATAACATTTATAAAAAGCACTTAGCACAATGCCTAGTACATAGTAGGTCCTATATAAATGCTTATTCTCTTCCCTCCCCCTTAAGTGCACAAAGTTTGGGAATTACCAGAGAAAATTTTAATGGATGCTGTTGGGATGAATGGGCAGCTGTAGCACTGTGGAAAGAGCACTGGGCTTAGAATCAGAAAAACTCATGTTCATGAGTTCAGATCCAGCCTCAGACATGTACTAGCTGTGTGGTCCTGGGTAAGTCACTTAACCCTGTTTGCCTCAGTTTCTCATCTGCAAAATGAGCTGGAGAAGGAAATGGCCAACCACTCTAGTATATTTGCCAAGAAAACCCCAGATGGAGTCTGGAAGAACTGGACCCAACTGAAATGACTGAACAGCAACAACAAAATTGGAGTGATTAGTATGACAGTAGGCCTAAAACACCATTTTGCTTGTCTTCAAATGCCTGGTGGTGAACTGTTGTATTTTAAAAGCCAGAGTTGATATTTAAACCGAGTACTTTTTAAATTAGTGTCTATAGTACACTATTTTTCTATATTCATAGATATTTGCTTTGTCTATTGGATTGAAAGTAATGATAACTGGCTGTCATAAGTCAGTGCTAAAGTTTGAGAGCATAAGAAAAATCAGAAAACTTAAAAGGAATCAATATATAATAATTACAAAAATGACAAAAGAATAAAAGTGTAGCATATAGAACTAGTAAGCCTGATACATTATTCCAGATATATTCCAGACAAATCAATCCTTCTGGGATCTTCAGATGGCTGAACTCAATCACTAAATCTTACCCTGGACCTCTGTAGATGTCATCTAAATTGACTATGAGTCACTTTTCCATCACAAACCCTCTTAACTCTGGAAGGACAGTTGATGAAATAAAAAGCTTAGACTTTCTTTTTGCTGCATTATTTAAGCCATGTATCAGATCTATGATTCCATCACCATTTTCTTTTCAAATCAAATACTGACTTTTAGGCTGTCATGTCCTATAAGATGAGTTTTTATTTCAGAATGACAAACAAAAATACTAGATGACTTGGGATTCTTAGCCTTATTTGGGCTTTTTTTTTTTGAGAAGATCCTTAAAAATAAGCCTCTTTATGAAGGACAAAAATGAGAAACACAAAAACCCAACCAAAGGCTTATACTTGAATTTTTGTTGACAGATTCAATAGGATACTGGATTAAAGTAAGGAAAATCAAAATTATATCAAAAATTACATTATTGTAGATGAAGAAGAAACAAGACGAATCTTAAAGGTCCCTTCTAGCTTCAAAATTCTGTAATGGAGGTTCAATGCATGTATAGGCCTCATCAGCTTGTTCAAATGACATCTCCATATGGAGATCTCTAGGGAGAATGTAGCTTCTCTTTCCATAGAAGCAGCTATGGAAGGAAATGGTATCTGTCCATATAGAGAATTCTAAGGAGCTGTTTTTGAGAAAATTGTGATGATGTATAAAGAAAGGGCCTTAAAGAGACTGGAGCATGTGAAGACATTGTGTAACTGGTTATAGTCAACTAAAGATGTGATGAAGAAAAGGCTTTTGGTTTGTCTGCAGAGTGATTCAAAGAATCCTATCAATCTCAGTCTCCTCTTTGCCTCAGGGCTCTTATTGATCTGTGAAGGGAGTAGAGCCTAAGGCCTGAATTCAAAAAGTCCAGAAGGCTTCTTGGCATTCCATCATGCCTGAGTTCAGGTTTGCAGCCAATGCAATATTGAAATATTAAGGTATGAAAAGAATGGAACCTTCTTCAGCATCTCATCCCTCCAGAGCCCAAGTTTCATAACCAGAGCAGCACTGATGACCTGAGGAGTCAGGAGTGACCTTTGGGAATGGCTTTCAGGACCCCAGGCCAGGAATAACTCATTTGGCAGTGATGCAGTCTTTAGATGTGAACTTGATGGGACTAATAATACTATGTAGGAACTGAGCGAAATTGTGAGCTTAATCATACCTTTTCCCCTATACACCTAATAGATCAAGGTATTATATGATTGTTAAAGTTAATGGTGGAATAGGAGTGTTAAAATAAATGTTTGTACTTTTCTTCTTATTATATCTTTGAAGCAAATATTCCTGTATAAAATGCTAATCAGTCTTAATTGTTAAATGGAACTTGGGTGCTAGTAACAGGGCTGTAGTTCATGGTGCCTACTTCTACCTACAACCTCTCAGGGTGCCCTGAAACCCTTAAGGGGGACATGTAGCCAGTATGGACCTGAGAGAATGGGGCCAAAGCAAACCGTGTTAAAATCTACAATTCTAAGACTCCCTATTTCTTAGGCACAACAAGGCCAAAAAAAAGTCTCAATTTATGAAATTAGTTTAACTGCTACATGGTCCACACCAAATCATTTCTCAGGGAGACTGGCTATTGACAATCAAGTGACTCAGGAGTTTCTATTTTTGACCAATCCCCAAAGTAAGCACTTCAGAGTTAATTTTACTACTAATATAAAACTACAGATCTGTTGAGGTTCAGAAGCCAGAGAAGAGTGTGCAAGAGAATGACAGTTTTAAATGTCATTTTTGGGAATGTTAGGGACAATGGTATTATGCAGGTATAAGAGAACAGTGGACTTTTGTAATTACAAGCTTGATGCAGGAGAAAGACCATTGTATTTGGACTTACAGAATCTACTCTAACCCAGGCTTTGTCACTTACTGCTTTTGTGACTTTGGGCATGTCATTTTACCATTCAGGATCTCTGTTTACTTATCTATAAAATGAGAGAGTTAGGCTAGGTAATCTCTTTCAACTCAAAATTTATGGTCTTATTAATTGCAGGTTGATCCAACATGGCTTGTTTCATAGACATTGAAGACACAGAAATCGATTCCCCTCCTCATAGGGGTGTTTTAAGGCTTATCTGCATTGCAAGTGCTCTGAAATTCTCAGGAAAAGAAATGACATGCTATGTTGTAGAGGATATAAGATATTAGAGTTGGCCAATTCCAAATATCAAACTCAACTATTAATCCAGGTATTTTTGAGTCTCTATTAATTTTGAAATTTGTAATCTTACACATATATGAGTTCATATATATCACTGAATCTTGAAATCATGTATCTCTGTGTGTATACATATGTATATTTAGTTAATGAAACACACATGCAACCCAGAAGCTCAGTTAAAAATTAAGCAAAAATTGTCTATGCCTCAGGACTACATTTTGCAAATAAATTATTTAAAACAATATGTTTGAATATCATACATTTACATTTTGAAGTAAGGATCCATGCTCAGCCGAACCTCTTGCAAGTACAAAAATATGGCATAGTAGCAAGAACTCTAGGTGTACAATAAGGGGGGGAACTAGGCTCTCATACCACCCCTGACACTAGCTATTTGAAAATGGGCCTCCCATCTCTGATTCGGGGAATGATACCTTTTAGAATTACCTCACAGCTTTGTTGTGGGCATTCAATGTGATAAAGTATGTAAGTGATATAATAATCATCATAATTGTGGTCATGATGATAATTATAACAACTAACATTTATATATCACTTACTATGTGTTAGGCATTGTGTTAAGTACTTTACAAATATTATCTCATTTGAGCTCTACAACAGCCATAAGAGAGAGGTGCTATTATTATCCCCATTTTATAGAGGAGAAAACTGAGGCAAACAGAGGATAAGTGACTTCCACAGGGTCACAAAGTTAGAAAGTGTCTGAGGTTGGATTTGAAGTCAGGTCTCTCTGACTCCAAGTCCAGTGCTCTATCCATTGTCCCATCTGACATTACAAACTTTAAATCCTATATCAATGTTAGCAATTATTATAAACATATAAGAGCACAAACATGTTTTAGAGTTCAAGTGGATTAATGGATAGGGTGTTAGATATGGACCAGAAAAGAGCAGCATGCAAATTCCATCTCTGCTACTTATTAGTTCTTTGACCCTAGGGAACCACCCTTTGACTTTTCATTTATAACATGGGGGTATTGGACTACATTGTTTACGTAGTCCCTTGTATTTCTAAGTCAATGAGCTTATGATCTTATTAATTATTATTATTATTTAATGTACTCATTATTTAAACTAATTAATGATTGTTCCTCCCCAAAAGAATAAACAGGATTTTGCAAATTTGTTCATTGTTTTTCACTACTATGTTTGTTCTAGGTCAGTAACACTGTAGTAATATACTTTTGAATGAGGAAAATAGAGGAAAAACAACAGAGAAAAATAGAGAGGGTTGTGGAAATTCACAGAATATTTTTTTTGGGGAGATAAAGAAACTAGAGAAAGTTGTTGAAATTTCCATATGATTGGCTAACTATGCATACCAGAGAAGTATTCACTTGTCCTAAGAAATTCCTAAAGAATTTGAGACTTTCTCATTTCTGAAGTATATAATTTGATCTCCAATTTCCTTTTATATTCATGAATCATATTTAAAAGTTGTACTTACCTATATAGAGACACTTAAGGTAAATTGTTATTAATATAATCTTTATATACCTGGCAAAAATACCAGGTATGTGGGAATTAACAAATTCTAAGTATCAGATCAGGAGAGCAAGAGATAAAGAGAGAGAAGGAAGGGTAGAGGGAGGGGAATGGGGAGAGCAAGAAAGGGAGAGGGAGAAGGGAGAGAGAAGGGGTAGGGGAAGAGAGACCATGAGAGCATCAGGAGGAGGCTGGAAGAGTCTGTGTCTGAGTTCAAAGTCATTCTGTCATTGTCATAAAAAAAGACAAATGGACCATTTAAATTATTTCAGTGCCCTAAGCATTATTGTTGTTTTTAAATGATACTTTTTTTGATTGGGACTAATTCTAATAAATTCAATGTGATAGAAATCGTGGAACTAGATTTATAAAGAGAAGAGAGAATAATTTTTGAATAGTCTAAAATGTAGATTGGCTATAATAATCATGATGTCACTCTTTAAGCCATTAAGATCAATGGCCAGAATCTTGGTGCTGATTCACCCTGGAAATCATTTTGAAACTGACACATAGAACTGGAGGTCAGGTCCCTTTTGTGTGGCTTATTTATTTTTGCATCTTTTAAGGGGTTAAAATTTGGATAGCAGCATTTCTAGCCAGCACTTTTCAATCCAACAGAGAAAGATTATGTATGCTATATTAACAAAATATGTTCAAGTTGTACTCAACAATTCTAGCAGTGGGACAGAAACTGCTAGGGTTTTGTTTTTTTTTTTTTTTGTTTTGGTTTGTTTTGTTTTGGTTTGGTTTGTTTTTGTTTTTCCGAATCAGAACCTATCTTCCCTAGGTTTCAGTTGAGGAAAATTACCATATAAGACAAAACTATGAATACACTCTCTTCCCAATTCCTCAGGAGAGAATAGGAGTTCCTTCCCTCAATATTTTTGGTGAGCTTTTTTTTTGTTTTGTTTTATTTTAATCTTGCCCTTCATCATAGCTATGAGTGCACTCATGCTATGCCTTTGAAGAGAGTTTCAAAAGGCTGATGGGTGGAGCGACTGGCAAGAAACAAGCAGAGCAATAGTTCTTTTTGTCTTGCTTTGCCTTCTTCTCTCCTTGAGGCAAAATAAAAACCCTTTCTGACTGCTGTATTTGAATTGGTTTTATGGCACTTGCTGAAGGTTGTTGTTTTCTAAACCCAGGTACTGAGGAGAACTGCCTTGAATTAAAAGTATCTTATTATATCAAGGACCTTGGCCTCCATTCAGTAGGGCCTTTAGCCATTGTTGTTGTTCAGTTGTGTCCAACTCTTAGTGACCCCATGGATCATATTGTCCATGGGGTTTTCTTGGAAAAGATACTGGAGTGGTTTGCCATTTCCTTCTCCAGCAGAGAAGCTCCTCCTATCTGCCTCCTAGGCAAACAGAGTTTAAATGCATTGCCCAAGGTCACACAGCTAGTAAGTGTTTGAGGACAGATTTGAACTCAGGTCTGCCTGATTCCAGGTCCAGCACTATCTACTGAGTCATTTAGCTGCCCCATCCTTTAGCTATACTACTATATGAATAACACCCTCAAAAATGCTTAGTGATTCTGTCTGGTGGGCACTTTCTGGTTCAGTAAATAACTCAACCAATCAGGATTAATTAAGCAACTACTATGTGCCAGACACTGGGCTAAATATAGGCTAAAGAAACACAAAAAGTGATACAGCTTTTGCCTTTAAAGGAAATATGAAGACTTAAGGAAGAATACATAAAAAGTAGTGTCCTGAGCCTAGTTAAATGCCATTAACAGAAAAGTTTCTTATAATTTTCACTTCTTATTCACTGTTGAGAATTTTTTTTCTCCTTCGGTTTTCTGAAAGTAGCCCTTTTCCCATTGTTTTCTTTTCTCATTCTGTCTACTTTTCTTCTTCTGACTTGCCTATGCATACAATTATAAAAGGTCTCTCCATGCTGATTCTCTGTCCCTTGGGGTTGAGGACTTCAGCCTCAACTCCTGTGTTTTGGTACTCACTTCTTGACAGGCCTTCTTACAGCTGAGGGTATATGTGAATGAGCATCACCAGCCTAACTCCGAAGCAGTTTTACTCAGGAGAGTGGGGAGTGAGATATTTTTTGAGACTTCAGAGGACAGTACTTCAGATCGATCCTAGATTTCTTGTTTATCCAAGGCAATGAGGGATGGTGGGTAGGACCAGACAAGTAAGTGTTCAGTAAAGCAAAAAATGTAATGGAGAATTCCGGTTCCTGGTATAAATTCCATTGCTTTGGGAGGGGCATTGGTGGTGGTGGTGGTAGTCGTATGGTACAGAGTACAATCTGCTTGTTTTAGGACAGGCATACAAAGAAGAAGGGTGCCCCATTCCCCAAAGAGGCCAAAAGAGGAAGTAGATACAAGGCTTGGAGGTGGTGTTGAGGCAGGTCTTGGAGAAGGACATGACTGTTGGAGAGTGGCACCAAACATTGCAGAGACTGTGGATGGTAGGACTACAAAGGAAGCATGTCTACATCCTCCCCCCACCCCCCACCCCAAGACTTGGGCACCCTGGGACAAAGCCTTGTTTATCCTGCCCTAGTTATGGCTCTGGTGAAACAAGAAAAAAAATAAACTTTGATGTGGCTGTAGCCCCAGGGTCTTCCTGTGGATAAGAGACCCCATCACCCTCACTGAGGCAATCAGAACACTTCCTACTTTACCTTTCGAGTTTTGTGAGGGTTCCTCATTCTGGATGATTTTTTAATATCCACTTCAGTTGTGTTTACACAACCAGGCTGGAAATGGAAAATAGAAAAAACAGCTCCTTGAGAAAAAAATTGTTCATCAGTGCATTTCTTTGCATATTAATGACAGCAGTTGGAAACATTGTGCATACACAGTGACCAGGAAAAACACTGGTAGTTCTCCCTAAATTGCCTTAGCAGTCTCTATCAGCCAAAATCATTATTGAATCGAAGAGGTTACTCTGTTTTACTTTCTACATTTTAAAACCTCCAATTACCATGCAAAATATAATGCTCAGAAAAACACAGACTTAGGTTTGGGATGTGAGTGTAAGGAATTATACTGATAATTTCTCACTCAGCAAGCTCAGAGCTAGAGTCTACGCAGTCCTGTAATGGAATGATGCCTTCCTAGCTGATCTCCTGGCACTATTCTCCCTGGAGTATAGAATGTTTACTTGGCCATGGTATTATTATTATTATTATTATTATTATTATTATCATCATTATTATTATTATATAGTTACTTGGTTTATCCATGATGAAAAAATAAAGTGACATTCAGTCTGGCCAACTCCAACACTCCAACTCCAGAATGAATTTTTACAGTGGTTACAAATTCCAGGAATTGGGGAGTCCATGATGGAAACATTTGTTCCTAAGAGACAGTATGTGTGTGGCCACTGGAGTCTGTGGCCACAGTGAGGACGATAGAAAAAGGAACTGGCATACAATATTCTATATACATAGAAGCTCAAAAATCTCACCCGGCCCTTATTTTCCCCTGATATGTCATCCTAATTCAGGCAGGAGTGAGAAAGAGGAGGATGGGAGTGGTCAACAGTCACCCTTTGTAACCTTCTTCAATCTTTAAGATTCTTATTCTTTTAATCAATGACAATGATACCACTAGAGTGGCACAGCAAGTAGTGGCAAAATTAATCAGATTCATGACTAATGAGCATTTTCCCCTTTTGGCAGTGTTCCCAGTTTGTGAAAAGTGTTGCTGAGCTAGAAAGAGTACTTTAGGTAAAACTATTAAGTTTTTCTTTTCTTTCTTTCTTTTTTTTAATTTGGAAGAGAAAAGAGGAACAGGGAAAGGAGTATTTATAGGTTCATCAGATCGCAGAGTCAGAAGGGGCCTTCTCAATCATTCATGATTTAAAAGCAATGGAAAGTTATTACTGACTCTGGTTTTCCTTTCCTTTTCAATTTTTGTTTTGCTGTTTAAGTGTATCAAACAGGCATAGCAGAAAAAGAGGTCAAGCAGGTCTAGAAAACTCAAGTCTTCTTATGTCTCCCCAAAAGCTTGAAGGTTCATTTTTAACTCAGGATCCCATCACAGAGAAGGTGAAGAAGGATAGAATCAGGAAAGGAGTGGGAATGGTGAAAAGCATTTAGACCAGTTAAAGAGGATTCCTCTCCCAGAGAGAGAGAGACAATCAATTAAGGATACAAGTTTATTTTTCTCAAAACTTTTATTGATGTGTTTTATTTTTACAAATCATTTACAAATTGTTGCCAATTTGTGAGACATTTCTAAATTTAAATTAAAATGGTTAAGTAAAATTAATAAAACTTATTAGCTGTGTGACCCTGGGTAAGTCACAACTTCTTTGAGTTTCAGTTTGCTCATTTGTAAAGTGGGGGTTATAATAGCCCCTCCCTCACAGAGTTATGAGGATCAAGTGAGAAAATATATGTAAAGTGCCTTGTAAATCTTAGATTTTTACATAAATGTTAGTCATTAATATTATTATTAATTAAGTACTTAGTGACAAATAAAAATGTGAGAAAATAGGCCTTTAAAGTACACTAAAAACCTCATGCCTAAAATATCATGAATGCTTTCATCAAGAAGAAATACTATAAGCAGTTTTCAGATGTAGAAATCGAAGCTATCTATAGTCATATAAAATGTTCTAAATCACTATTAATTAGAGAGATGCAAATTAAAAAGCTGAAGTACCACCTCACGTCTATCAGATTGGCCACTATGACATAAAAGGAAAATGATTAATGTTGGAAGAGATGTGGGAAAACTGGGACCCTCATGCACTGTTGGTGGAATTGTGAACTGATCCAACCATTCTGAAGAACAATTTGGAACTATGCCCAAAGGACAAAACTGTGTATTCCTTTTGACCCAGAAATACTACTACTAAGTCTGTAGCCCAAAGAGATGAAGAAAGGGAAAAGTACTTATTTGTTAAAAATGTGGTGGCAAAAAACTGGAAATTGAGGGAATGCCTACCAACTGGGGAATGGCTAAACAAGTTGTGGTATATGATTCTGATGGTATACTATTGTGCAAGAATATGACAGGCAGGATGTTTTCAGAAAAAACCTGGAAAAACTCAGACAAACTGAAGCAAAATGAAGTGAGCAGAACCAGGAGAATAGTGTACACAGTAACAGAAACATTATATGATGATTAACTGTGAATGACTTAGCAATTCTCAGCAATACAATGATCCAAGACAATTCTAAAGGCCTCATGATGAAAACTTCTATCCACATTCAGAGAAAGAATTGATGGAGGCTGAATGTAGATCAAAGCATATTATTTTTCACTTTATTTTTTCATGGTTTGTTTTTCTTGTGGTCTGGTTTTTTTTTCTTTCACAACATAACTAATATGGAAATATATTTTACATGATGGTACATATATAATCAATATCAAATTGCTTACCACTTTAGGGAGGGGGGAAATTTGGAACTCAAAATTAAAAAAATTGAATGTTAAAAATTGTCTGTATGTAATTGGGGGAAAATAAAATATTATTTAAAAAAGGAAAAAATACCATTCTTCCCTTTTTTAAGAGATAGAGACTTATGTATGTGCATATAACATATTCAGTTAATATGTTATTAAGTTTTGTTTTCTTTATTCTATATTACAAGAGATGTCTCTCTAGGTGGCGGAAGAAGGACATATTTAAGGAAAAAAGGTACAGTAAAAAGATAGATATCAATAAATATTTAAACAAAATAGTTTTAAAAGAGTTAAATGGTACTAGAAATGGCACCAGATAACATCAGAAAAAAAAATTAAATTGACTACACCTTAACAGATGGGAAATGTGGGAGTTATTTACAAATCAGCAGTGTATAATAAGACCATTAGCTTATTACAGTAAACACCAATTAAAAGAAAGGATAAAGATGAAAAGAAGCTACAGAATGAAATTCAAATTGATGCAACGTGACTCATTTAAACAAGTCATTGATATAAAAAATAGGGAATGGAAGAAGGAACCGATATTACCACCTTCCTATAGAAATTTAATCAATATAAGTTAAATCACTATAGTGTCATGTGGAAGAGTTTGGAAACCACCTTAGCCAAAAAACTTAATCTCATTCTTAATCTTACTCATTATAAACAGGAAGAAAATTACATCTCCCAAGTATAGACCAGTGATCTTAACTTTGATATCTGGCCAGATGTTATAGTGTATTATTAAATGGAGGGTTAGTGAATATTTAACAAAGTAAGCAGTGAAAACAAAGAGTTAACCTGCCAGAGTAATTAAATAATTTTTGACAAGATGTTAAACTGATGGATTGGGGAGAGGATATCATGTGTGTATAGTTTTCCTAGATTTTAGCAAAACTTTTGATAGTTTTTAAAGCTATTTTTCTGATAAACATAGGCTCAAGATAGGTGGTAGTATAATTATATGGATATAAATTTGCTTTATTGTGCAGAATACTAAACGTGAATAGTAATCATTAATAGGTCAATATCAACATGGAAGAAAGAAGCCAGCAGAGTACCTAGGGGTGTGTGCTTGGTCCTGTGTGGTATAACATTTTATTAGTGACTTGGATAAAAGTATAGATGGCTTCCTAATCAAATTTGCATCTGACTCAAAATTGGGAGATATAAGTGATGTCTTGGATGATAGTCAGGATTTGAATAGACGTTGGCAGTCTAGATCACTGGATTTAATCTAATAATATGAAATTTAAGAGGAACAAATATAGTTCCATGCCTTATACTTGGATTTACTTTAAAAAAAAAAACACAGCTTTACAAGTGTAGAAAGAGGAGACATGGCTAGAGATAACTTTGTCTGGAAAATACATGAGTTTTAGTCTAATGAAAGCTCAACCAGAGTCAACAGTGTGATTTGACAGCTAGAAAAACTAATGTGATCTTAGGGTGCATTAAAATATGCATGATTTCAAGGACTAGGGAAATAATAGTCCCATTGTACTCTGACTTGGTCAAGCCATATCTGGAGTATTTTGTTCAAGCCCAGGAACCACATCTTAGAAGGAACATTGAGAAGCCGAGAAGTTACCAGATGAGGGTAACCAGAAGATGTTAGACCTGAAACTCATGTAATAGAAAAAGTGATAGACAGAACTGAGGACATTTAAGCAAATGATAACTGTCTCCACTTACTTAAAGAGCTATTAAATGAATGATGGAGTAGAATGATTCTGTTTGGCCCTAAATTGCAGAAATGAAAATAATGGATGGAATTTGCACAGAAGACATAAATGAGAATCATGTAGGATAAGAAGCATTGATGCACTTCTGGAAGGAGTGCCTGTATTGATAATATCATAGATCCATTACAATGTGAAAGTATGATATTATAGGTTCAATAAAATATGAAAAAATAGCTCATTGAAAGAGTGGCATAGTGGAAAGAGTAATGGACTAAAGAGTCAGGAGACCTGGTCTAGTGCCATCTCTCAGGCAGCAAGGTTGCAGAGTGTATAGGAACACTTGGATTCAAGTCAGAAAAATCTGAGTTCAAATCCAGTCTCAGAATCTTAGTACCTGTGTGACCCTGGGCAAATTACTTAACCTCAGTTGGCTTCTATTTCCTCAACTGTAACATGCAGGTAATAATAGTACCTACTTCCCAGTGTTGTTTTGAGGATCTAATGGCATAACTGTAAAACACTTAACATACTCCCCTGGAACATAGTAGATGCTTAATAAATATTTGTTCCTTTTTTTTTTTTTTCTGTCTACCCCACCCCACCAAACTCTGCCACTAATCAACTATGGTAACTTTGAATGTGTCACT